TTCCCAACCCCCCCCCCCCCCCCCTCCCCCGGCCTCGATTGAATGAAATGTATCAACATAGACCTCCCACGGTCATTGCAACAAAGAAACTGGAAGCATTGCAGAAATTACCCGATATCGCTGTTGCCAGCGTTCGATTATCTCCACTTTGAACAAGAATTTCGCCATTATGTTGATTAAGAATAAAAATGGTGTTATTCCTATCGATAAATATCTCATTGAAATATGCTCCAATAATAGTGTTGTTATCAGCAATAGTTGTAGCATTTGGGTACCAAGAATCTGAACAAAACTTTGGCTGATTATAAGAGACGGCTGAAAGAAGAAAGAATATTAAGTACGAAGATGGGCATTTAGTTACCTGATATCTGCTCGATAATGAACAAAAACAGGCACAACTGAAGTTTACCAGTCAGTTGCATTATGCACAATGAAGATCAAACAAAATACCTGAAGAAAATTTCTTTTCAAATTCTTCGTTAATCTATTTTTTAAATTTTCCTCATGCGCACAAATGTTGTGATTTTTATTAAAAAGAACTCAGCGTTTATGTGATTTACCCGTTTTTTTCTAATGTACACAAATGATTTTGATCGCGTCTGGAAATAGAGTTATGCCGTTGGAAAAAATATGCTTTTTTTGAAAAATTTCAAAAACCATTATGAAGGACGTCTTTCGAGATTCAATAACGACATCTTTATCCTTATATATCACCGTGTGGAGCAAGGCAAAATATTTAATTGAGTCTTTTGTGCTTTGGATATCAAACACTTTATACTGTCAAAATTTATCCTTCTCTTTACTACTAGTAACGCACGTCGAGGCAGACTCGCTTAACCCTCGACTGAATGAGTAAATTTAAATGTTTTCTCTTGCTGAAATTATTCACATTAATGTAAACTTGATTATTATGTACTAGTCATAGTCCTTTTTTACCTTATAATCCTGGAAGTTATTCTGTAAAAATTTTTAAAAAGTATTATAATTCAAATGACAGCTGAAAAGGTTTGATCCAGAACTTCGCTAATCAACTGCGTAACGTAAATTTATTTTATATTCAACGAAAAGAAAGGAAAATGACCAGAATAAATCAATATCAGCATAAATATACACGACACAATTAGAAAAGCAAAATAATCTCGATCTTAAAGAATTTTAAAATGTAGAAATTCTATAATTCGATCAAAGATAATGAAATTTACGGAAAATTCAAATTATCTATAGTACAAACTGATAAACGAAGTAACAGTTGTCTTATTATACATCTGATTCATTGGAACCATTCCGGAAAACGTGATCGTGTATTCAAGAACAGCTGATCTAGTCTTTCCATTTCAGTAATTTGAGATTTAGATGGTTTCATCAGCAAAACTTTATAATCAAATGGTCGTAGAATAGCTAGATCGGCCAAACGTTTTACATGAGATAGTGATACGTAGACTGCTGCAATATCATCAGTTTCATTTGGCCATTTTAAATCAATAACCACTTTGCTCAATATTTGACCTTGACTTTTATGCGTTGTAATACAATAAGCAGGTACAAGTGGTAATGTAGATTTAGGGGTGGACCATTTCCGTTAATTTCCACTTTATTAAGTGATTAAAGCATAAGAAAGA